AGAGTGTAGGACAAGAGTGTTCTTTCATGGATTTCATTTTATTTTCTATCACAAATACAGTCTCTCGTTCTGCTCTAGGTGACCTCTAAGCCAAAGACTTTTAGAACACTCTTTACCCTCTTTGTGCCTTCCCTTAAAAAAGAAAGGGCTGTTATAATAGCAAGCCATAATCTAATGGCACCCTGCTGGTACTCCCCACTGCTCCTTGTCTCTCCCTTTTTCAAATATGTTGTCACACATAAATATAATGTCTAGAGCCCAAGCCCATTAACAGAAACCCCCATCCAGCCTGCCCCCAATTAAGGTGCCAACCCCACACCTCACTCCCAGCCACTGAAGAACAGATTGCCTATTACATCACTCAAGCCTGTTACTCCACTTTCTCCCTGTGGCATCCAGCCCTTCTAGATGCTTACTGCTTGTGGCTTAAGCGCAGAGGCAAGACATATTTAGCAATTTAAGATTAATATTATATATGCTTGACTTTTACAAGGCTAGATACCCAGGGGACTGACGTTTAATAGATGTTAATGGAATTTAATTCTTGTACACACTAGGTAAGAACATTTATCTTCTAAATAAAATAGTATGGAACCTTATGTTACATCAGGAAAATTTCAAAACAAATTATTTTTTTTCATCTGGCAACCCCGAATCAAGTTACCGAGCAGAAAAGCTACTTTTTGGTATTTAGACTTTGGAACCTGAATTTAATTATCATTAATTACACTGAGAATGTCAGTGTTAACTTTGCATGTTCCATAGTTATTATCATTGCAAAATAGTTCTGAAGTGGTATTTAAATAGAAACTTTCTCCGTAATCTATTTTCCCAGCGGTTTTCATTTAAAGAGGGGTCACTGCTGCACCTAAAACAAACCCTAGTTAAATCAATGGATCAATCAAGCAAAAGGAGCCCAAACCTCAGTGTATTAAATAATCACATCTAAGAACTTCTTTATAGAAAACCCTACGAAAGCACTATCCATCAAAAATCTCTTGTGTTAGCATGCAGACATCTGTACTGGCCTGTCCTTGGGGTTCTGACAGGATACACCCTCAGCTGCAGCCACTAAGAGCACCACCTGTGCACATTCACTATGTTCCCTTTTAAAAGGGCCCTGCCCACCTCCCATCCTCTCCTCCCTTTCTTTCTCTCCCTCTGTCTGTTCTCTCCCCATTCTCTCTCTCTGTCCCTCTTTCCTCTCTCCTGCTACTCCTGTCCCTGGAGGCCAGTCTCCCCGCTCCTGTTTCCCCCTTTTACAATCCTTTTCCTTTAAAAAATACCCCTCTGTTTGAACTCTGTGGCAAAGTGCCTTTCTCTCTTGAGCTGCTTTTCTTAATTTACAACACTTTGTAAAAAGTAAAGGTACGTGACAAGGTGTGTGGGGGTACATTATCTTGGTGTTTTAAGGCTGCCACCAGGATCACTTAAAAGTATGTGTGAGGGGTTCTGAATGTCAAGGTTTGGTTTCAAAATCTGGTTCATAGTATGTGTCCTAGTTAGGATTTCCACTGCTGCAACCAAACACTATGACCAAAAAGCAAGTTGGGGTAGAAAGGGTCTATTAGGTTTGGGCTTTCAGATCATAGTCCGTCCTTGGAGGAAGCCGGGAATTCAAAAGCAAGGCTAGATCCTAGAGGCAGGAGCCGATGCAGAGGTCATGGAGGGGTGCTGCTTATTGGCTTGCTCCCCATGGCTTACTCAGTCTGCTTTCTTATAGAACCCAGTACCAGCAGCCCAGGGATGACTCCACCCACCATGGGCTGGGCCCACCCTCCCCCATTGAATACTGAGAAAATGCCTTACAGCTGGATCTCAAGGAAGCATTTCCTAAGCTGAGGCTCCTTCCTCTCTGATGACTCTAGTTGGTGTCAAGTTGACACACAATAACAGCCAGTTACAAAAATTAACAGAGTACAGGTCTACAGTCACACAGCCCTTGGTTAGATATGGTCAGTACTTGGACGGGAGAACATATTAAGGAAAAAACCTACCAGTTAAATTTCTGTTTGGTGAAATCTCTCCAGTTCCCATTAATAAAGCAAAAGCTGGTTTGGTTTTGTTTTGTTTTGGTGTCTGGTACTGTCTACACAATAAACATTGATGAATAAACATGATTTTTGACAATAACCAGGTAAAAAGAGATAATGTACAAGGAAAAGAAATTAGGTCAGTCATATATGTGAACTTCAGTAGGAAACCTGAGTTTCCTTTCCTGGACCTCTGCTTCCTCTATGTAACTTTGGATGCTGCAATTGCTGTGGAATGGACTTTTAGCTCCTGATGGCTTCTAAATCTTTAAAGTAGTCACTTCTTTGTTATGTGTACCCATGGTGATTGCCTGTGTGTGCATGTCTGAGGCGTAAGTCAGCCTCTGAAATTTTCCCAGATCACCATCAACCTTATTTTATGAGAAAGGGTCTCAGTGAACCTGGACCTCCCGGTTTTGGCTCTCAAGTGTTCCTGCAATCTCCCTGTCTCTGACCCCCCAGCACTGACATTGCAGACCCATGCCCATGCCCCTAGCCTAACTCTTTTTAGTTACATGCAGAAGAATCTGGACTCCATGCAGCAAGTTACTCTGTGCACTGAGCCATCTACTCCCTATCCCTCGTCATTTTTTTTTTTGCCTTTTCTTTCTGGGTCATAACCAGGGGCCTCCATAGGAAGTAGGGTCAAGTGCAGACTGTAGAAGTTCTGCACTTGTGACTTCAAAAATAAATAAAGTCTATTAAGAGCTTTTGTGTTATGGCAGCAGCAGAGGCAAAGAAGTCCCCCAGCTTCATGCAGAGACTTGAGTAAGCACAGGAAAAGTGTGCAAAAGAGGAAAACGAGAAGTCAAAAGCCAGGAGATTTTATTTATGACTGATTAACAAATGATTAATTCATAAAAAGCCATCCCTTCCTGAGAGGGATGCTTTATTTCCCAATAGGACAATGCCCTGAACATAAATAAGGAAGAATTCCTGCTGCCTACATAGGAGGAGAGGCTTCAACAAGACAGGCTTGTTCTTGTCTCTATCCTGATTTACCGTATGACCTTGGGCAAGCCATTCATCTTCCTCCAATATAGTTTCCCTAATTGTAAAATGGAAATAAAAATACTCACTGGCTTGCTGAAGATTAACGAGACAAAATGAATGCCCCTAGGCTCCCTGAGGGGAAGAGGCTGTGTTTGAGAAAGCAAAGGACTATTAAGTAATGTTATTGGACTTTTCACACAACTTGGGGAAAAGAAAACCATGGCAATAAACTCAAGAGCTTTAAGCTTCCTCTCTAAAAATATAAAATAAGCTAAAGTTAAAAAAATAAGAGAGGCAGTTTTTACAACTATCCCAGCATTTCCTGCTTGTTACTCTAGCAGATGCTGGGAATGGGAAAGCCCAGTGACTAGAAACCTGTCACTTGGTTTCTCTTTTCATGGTTCTCTCCCCCTTGGCTCTATGCTGAACAGATGAGGAGTGAATGCTTCTGAGACATATCGTCTTTTTCTGTAAGATATCGGATAATGCTATTATTTACCACACGTTAAGACATACATGGGGATGCCTGGCATAGGATACCAACTTCCAAACGAGCATCTGGATAACTTCTGTTCCCTTGCAACATAATTATTTTAAAACTACTGGAACATTCGCCTCTCCAAAAATCTAAGATTTTCATAAGATCATGCAAAGGTACCAGTGAGGACATGATCTGTACTTGAAGGTGATTAGGAAGCACAAAGCCCTCTTCCTTCGGCTGAACAAAACAAGTTTGGGACATGGGCAACGCCTTAAACTTCCAGCACTTGGACACGAGGGGGCACTGTGAGCCTGCTTTGGAAAGGCATAGAGGCCAGGCCGTGATGTTAGATAGGGAGGGTCGGATGCTCCTACCCACAGCATAGCACTGGACCAGGACCTAAATCCAGCCTCTGGAAAGGGCAATTTAGGTGATCTAAGGCTGGGGATGGATGCAGCTGCACAACTACCCGCATCGTCTTTCTCCTCTTCCCAAATGTAAGGCTCTTTCTGGCAGCTATTTTCCAGTGAGAGATTCTTGAGTTCAGGAGCTTGGGAACCCAGACATCCAATCCTCCCTTTCCCCTTCTCTGTAACTGTAGAAATATGGGAGCATTTTGGGTGCACCTATATCAGGTACGTTCCAGGCCATAAAGATACCATCTGATACTCAGTGCCCGTTTTCCAATGGGGCTTAGGCTCCGTTAATTTAGAGAAAGGACACACAGACAGTTCCTTCCCCACAACCTAAGGCCCTGCAGGTAGGGAAAGGACTCTGAAAACCACCAGTGCCCACCCCTCAATGTCCTGGGAAGTGACAGCCACATCCACGTGAGGACTCCTTCAGGAAAAAGGTATGTATGGGTCAGGTCTTCAAACAGTAGTAGCTCAAGAATGAGACTGAATCTTCTGTGAAAAGGGAGAAAATTGTTGCCACCTGCATGGTTTCTTAAGGTTTGATCCTTTCTAAAAGATCAGACCCAGGGAAAGGCTGTCCAGGAGCTCGGGTCCCCTTCCCCACGCCTTCAAAACTGGACATGGCACCAGGGGGATCTCGGTTGCTTTTTGTCACTCACATCTAGACAGAAAGGGCTAGATGCCCTAGCGTTCCTTTTAAAGCTAGCTGCATGGTGGTGTATCGATTAACAGGAGATCCTGGGGTAAAGAAGGGACAGTCTGTTGTGATCCCTGTCTCTGAGGCAGAAAACCTCCCGTGTCCCTGTACATGCATCCGCCCACCCAGCGCAGAATGATTGTGGTGAGAGGTGTGGAAAAAAGCAGGCGAGATTGAGGGGGTCTGACACAACATGGTGTGTGAGGGGTGGGAGCTGGGGTGGGGTGAGGGGGTATGCGGTCCAGGAAGGGATGAGCTGGTCAAGGAGAAAGTAACAACCCATCCCAAACTTTCGCAGATCCGACGATCCTGCAAGGGCATGGCAATCCGGAGCAGCAGTGCCCCTCCCGATGCCCACGCGGCGTGACTAGCTGTAGCGAGGAGGGGCTGCGCGCTCATCAAGCTGGACGGTCCTCAGGTTGCTCCCACCCTGCTGCCAAAACGCTGCTGCTCCGGGCACAGAGCACAGGATCACAGAGGCAGACACGCCGTGAGACTCGAGCCTGGCAGCAGGCTCCTTGAAAGGGACATTTTACGTGCATCGAGAAGGGAGAAGGGACACTGGACTCAACAGCTTCGCTCACCCCAGTGGGGTGGAGGGGACCTGCCCTTGGACGCGCCAGCAAGAGTCACTATAGGCTTGGGAACAGAGCGCAGAGAAATCCAAGGGTTTAGAGAAGTCAGCTTCAACAGAAATGTCGAAAAAGATCAAGGGTAGCCACCGGAGTCCGGAAGCTTAATAGCCACCTGGTGGGTCACTGTGACCCCGGGAACGACAGTGACTGACGCGCGCGCAAACCAGGCGCTCCCCAGCATCTCCGGGTCTGCCGACCGAAGCCGCCTCCCCCGCGTGGGACGCGGGTGCAGAGACACCCGCGGCGGCAGCTAGAAAGCAACATGCAGCTCACAGACCCCAGACTGTCCCGGCTGGGGAAACTCCTGGGCGGAGCGGCGCGACGGTGACCCGCGCGGGTGCGAGGGGTGTGCCCGGCCCCGCCCGCGCGCCCCTCCCCGCGGAGGCCGAGCATCCAGGGGCGGCGCGGAGCCGAGCGGCTCACCCAGCCGCCAGTGCCCGCGAGCGCCGCGCCTGCTCGGGGAATCCACTTCGCTGCTAGACGCTTCTCGCTCACGCTCTCTCTCACTCTCTCTCCTAGGCGGCTTCCCATGGCTTTTGCTTTGCGGCCGGAGCCTATCCACTAACGGAGAAACTTTTCCAGCCATTTCTTCTCCCCACCCCTTTCCAGGAGAGGATTAAAAGTTCCAAGAACTGGTGCCGCCAGTGCCACTTGGGTACTCGTCGGCGACTTCCCAGTCTCAGCCATGTGCACCAACATAGTTTACGAGTGGCTGAAAGCGTTACAGCTCCCGCAGTACGCCGAATCCTTCGTGGATAATGGCTATGATGACCTGGAAGTGTGCAAGCAGATCGGAGACCCGGACCTGGACGCCATCGGGGTACTGGCTCCAGCGCACCGCCGGCGCATCCTGGAGGCTGTGTGCCGGCTGCGGGAGCAGGACGCGGCCGCCGCCGGCCTCTACTTCACGCTCGAGCCACAGCCGGTGCCACCCGCACCGCAGGTGGACGCGGTGCCCCCAGGCCGCCGGGGGGAGCCATGTGGCAGCTCGGCCCAGGGCACTCGCGGGGACCCCAGTGGCCAGGCGAGCACTCCCCGCAGCAGGGAGCTGGTGAGCTACCCCAAGCTGAAGCTGAAGATCATGATCCGGGATAAGCTGGTCCGCGATGGCATCCACCTGAGCAAGCCCCCGTATTCGCGCAAGGTAAGGAGAAGGCGCCAGGGTGGCCTTGGAGACGAGGTGGGAGGGGACCAGGCCTGGCGCTTCTGCAGAGACTCGGCAGTTAGTCTAGGTGACAACTGAGAGGCCAGGGTGTTCGGGGGTGTCTGGGACTCTCTTCTTTTTTCTGCTTTATCTGAATCCTTTCCGTCCTGGGGTCAGTCAGATTCTGCACCTAGACAAGTGGGAACCAGGCATATGGCATCCTATGGTATATAGAGGCTTGTCTGTCAGGTCTTGGGCAAAGGGTGCTCGCTTTTGGTGGCCACCTGAAAACTCGAATTCTTCTAGTAGTGTTTGGATTTGAAGAATACCAAAAAGATGGGTTACATCTGTTTTATTTTCAACCATTTTTCTTTTTCTTTACTTTTTCTGAGTTTTGAGAAACTTCAAGAGGATTAGATGGCTATTCCTGAAGGAGACAGGGAATTCAGGTCCTGCTGGCCTCGCTTCAGTGTTACTGAGTATACCTTTAACAGGATTAATGGGGGTAGAAGAAGTAAACACAAATCAGGTGCCTATTCACAGGAGACAGGTTCCTTACACTGAAGTATTCCGAGATGGGGTGCTGAACAAATGACTTCATTAGACCTCAGAGTATGCTTCTGGGACCTGTGGAATGATTAGGTTGATCAATTGATCCTTCCAGAAAGTCGAGTGGACCTGTTTGGGAAAGGACAGAAAGAAGTGGCATTTCAGCACCCAGAAAGGAATTCTCACACGTGAGATCAGGCTACAGGTTCTCACAGTTGGTCTGTGAGGCTGTGCACACGTGGAGTGGGGTTTGAGCAATTTAGTACCCGAAAAAGTGCATTCTCATGCCAGAGTGCTGTCTCTAGCTCCAAGTGGTTTGGCGCAGTTAGGTGAGTTGGTTTGGTGGCAGAGACCTCTGTGACAGCACAGGTAATGCCTGGGTTTGCCTGGATCTGAGAGGAAAATAACATCTCAGCCTGAGAGTAAGGGGCCAGAGAAGTTGAAAAGCCCTGGCAAGAACACTCAGTTGGCCAGGAGTGTGAACACAACACCCAGAGGGAAACGCCTGGGCTGAGTACCCTGTGGGCGGCACCAGCCCTAGAGGTGCTCTGTAGCCTCAAGTGAAGGTGATAACACTTAATGGAAGCAAGCTCAAAGGTCGACGCTGCAAAAAGGAGATAGAGTAAAAGGAAATGAAGGGTTTGTTATTACCCACCTGTTATCTTGCAGTTAGGAGAGGCAACTGAGATCACCTGCCTGAGAACATACATTGCTTTTGTAAGCAGGATAGTGAGGAAGATTTGTCTCAAACACGTGTCCCAGTCACCTGCTCTGCTGGTACCTTTGATGGGTGCTGGGATCAGGAATGGAGAGGTGCAGTCACAGGCTGTACTGGCAACTAGCCTTGTAGGGTGTCCCGTGTCGTTAGAAGGACCATGGTGAGCAGAGCAGTTAGTCCAGGACTAAAGGAGCAGGCGTCCAGCTCAATGATGGTTACTATTAACCCAGACAGTGAGTTTGTGCCAAGAGACAAGTTAGGGCTGGTTTAATCTTCAGGAGAACTGTAGTGAGACATGTGGATGAGAGGATGGGACGCATGGACTGGGGTGAGAGGGGATGACATAAAGTAATGTATTTTGTGTGTGTGTGTGTGGGCGCGCGCGCGCGCGCCACACCCCCCCACGTGCGCCCTACCACCTAATTCACAAGCTGAAAAGCCATGAAAGGACAGATGCAATGCTTAAGCAGAGGTTTGGGGCTGTGAGTCCTGCTTACAGCAGCAAGTGCCAGGGCAATGCATTTTCCTCCTTTCTTTCGGCAGGGTCACCTGTAGCTTAGGAACTCAATTGTATAGCTGCAGCTGGTCTTGAACTCCAGATCCTCCTGCCACTCCGAGTGCTGGCATCACAGGAGTGACCATCATACCTGAATGAGAGTACTTTTTTTTTTTAAGTCAGATTTGTATAAACAATTCAGCTTGCAGGCCGGGCGGTGGTGGTGCACGCCTTTAATCCCACCACTTGGGAGGCAGAGGCAGGCAGATCCCTGAGTTTGAGACCAGCCTGATGTATACAAACTGAGTTCCAGGAAAGACAGAACTTTTGAAAAACCAAAAAAAAAGTAAAATAATAATAATAAATTGAAAACTAAAAATTCAACTTGCATTATGATACTATTTTTTCATGTAAAGAATTACTTGTCATTTTTATTTGATTAAGTTATATAGTCTAACTGTCCTAAAACTCATAACTATACTACCCCAGCCTCCCAAACTGTTGGTTTTTAGACATGACTGTCACCAATTGATTTTGAGTTTACTTTTACCTAAATGTCTTAAAACAATAATGCTTAATGACAAAATTGTCCACTTTGACTTTCTATTTTTTTTGTTTTTATTTTTGTTTTGTTTTTTTGAGACAGGCTTTCTCTGTGTAGCCTTGAGTATCCTGGATAGTCTAGCTAGGTCTCCACTTCACAGAGATCCACCTGTCTCTGCCTCCTGAGTCCTGGGATTAGAGGTGTGTGCCACCACTATCTGGCCGTTTTTGCCTTCTATATATGCTTAATTTTCAATCTTTAACTAGCAGAGGAATCAAATGGGAACAGTAATATTCTCATAAGCTCCTTGTGGGGATCAAAAGAATGGAGCTGGAAAACTTCATGTAGACATAGAAATTAAAACATAATGCATACAAAACTAGCTTTGTAGACCAGGCTGGTCTGGAACTCACAGAGATTCGCCTGCCTCTGCCTCCCAAGTGCTGGGATTAAAGGCATGTGCCATCATGGCCCAGCTGCATATAAAACTAAACATACAACTATGAAATAGCAAATCATGTTGCTCCATTGGAATTTGCTGTTTATATATGATGGCCTCCTCTTAAGTTCTAGATTTTCAGTTGTGTGGGAATTTGTTTTCTGATGCAGTTTTCTCTCCCAGGAACAGTGTTGGGACTTTTTCTTTAAAATGTGATCACATTCTAGTTCTGATTTTCATAGTCTCCTTGGTTCTGTCATGGTCATGATCATAATCGCACTGTTCATTATATTGATTTGGAATTCAGTGCAGTAGAGCAGGCTTAGTCTCCCTTGTGATCATTAGCACGGTCCATCCTTGGGACCTCACACAGCAATGAGAATACTGTGTGGCTTGGAGGTGATCATGCCAAGGATGGTCATAGTGAGGATGGTAAACCTCTTGCAGATAAGTATGAATTGAGTTATTTTCTTTTCAAGAGTGACCTGAAAGGATTATAGATTTTGCATTAGTAAAACAGCCCAAGTTTCCTGGTCACTGATCTAAACTTTAATAAGAACTCTTCTCCCGTGTTTCCTTCATGTTAGAATACCAAGAGCTTGGGAGGGTCAAGCCTCTAGTCAAGAGCACAATGACTGCTCTTCTTAGGTTTCTCCATTGCTGTGATTTCTACCTCTGTGATGGGGCATACCTATATTCACATATATACAAACATAAATATATACAATTTTCATATACAGTTTTGTGTGTATAACATTTTGTGACTAAGATTCTCCACCCCATACCTTCTTTGGGCTCCATCTTACTGTGGTTAGCATGATGTGCGCAAGTACCCTGCCCTCAAAGATTGTGAGGTTGAGCAGGGGACATGTAGACAGAATTCAAAATGGTGACCCTGTGTGGCATTGCCTTGATGGGAAGCATAGGATACCATGAACAGGTGCACCCAAGTTTTTTACACAGAACCGAAAACATGGGGCATATTAGCAGAGAGGTAGGAGGAAATAGAATTCCAGAAACTGCTAGAGGTGATGATATTCAAGAAGTCACACCATGGCCGGACAGGACATTGATGGGGTAGGTTTATAGAGTCCTTTAAAACTTTAATGAATTATTACCGCTCTGTGTGTGATATGCTTGTATGAGGGGGTGTTTCATGTGCCGTGGTACATGGGTGAAGATCAGAACACACCTCTGTGGAATTGATTCTCCTCTTCAGCTTTTCTTTGGGTTTGAGTTTAGGTCACCAGGTTTGCTTAGTGAGCTCTCACACCTGCTGAGCCATCTTCTGGACAGACTTCTGGAGTTCTTTCCTGGAAAATGTCTCCTTCTTTCCTAGCGGTGGAAGCTTTTGAAATGGTATAGCTTTGTTTAACCATGCTGTAGGAATGTCAACTGGCATTCACACATTAGTATAAATTAAATTAACAAGGCTCCGTGGTAATAAGGCTGTGGGATGCTCAGAGAAGGTAGCCCAAAATGAAGGAATTTGGAGAGAAATTTGAAGTTGTTAGGAAAGCTCCTGTGTGGAGGGCACAGAGCATCAGAGAGGAAGAGATCCTGGCAAAGACATCCTGTGGCCTTTGGAATTCTGCCTGGGGTCTTGGCAGAAGCCAGCATGACAATAAATATTATTCCTCCCAAGAATTCCTTCTGCCTGTGTGACATTACCAGGACAGATTGGAAGCTGGCAAACTTCAGTTTTTCCAGTTCAACCAATATCCTCAGTCTAGATCCTTCTGGCTCTTTTGGTTTTGGTCCATTTGGAACACTGGAAAGAAGAAATGGGAGGAAACAAGAGGTGATGGTGTCTTCATTCTCTGGACAGTTTATGATCCTCAGAAGTTTCATATAAGTAGACCCTCGCCACCCACCCACATATTCATTGGTCATATCCATCCATCCTTATTTTCACCCACCCCTTCTTGCTTCCTTTAATCTATCTGCATGTCTATTCACCTGTTGATCCACCGACCTGCCCATCCTTTCCTCCATTTAACCAATAGAGAGTGTATATCACAGATTAGGATTCAGATTACAGTGTGCTAAACAGACATGATCTTTGCTTGTATGTGGAGAGCCTAGTCTAGTACCTGACATATGGTAGTTGTACCATATCAAAGGTCAATGTTATTTTTATAAATATTAGACGTCAGAGATGTTTATACTTGTGTTTATGTCAGTGGCAAAAAGGAACAATTGTGGTGGAATGATGCCATAAAAAATATCCCTTAAGAGTTACCTAAGGAGGTTC